CTCTCCTTTCCACTTCTGACTGTGCACACTGCTGACAGAAACATTTTCCCAAAGCACTGCTTCTACCATATCTTTCCTCAGATAGAAAACCTTCTAGAGTAGAAGTGGAAGTCACAAACAGGTCATAGTTCTGTAGATATGCTTTGTTTGACCTATGTGATGTTTTAAAAAATATTTTGAATTTGTTTCCAACAATGAAAAAAGGAAGATTTTAGATGAAAATCTGAATTTCTAGCTTTTGGGGAATAATTAGAATACTTAGCAACTGTAAGCCTGCATTTCCACATTGCAATTGACCGTAGTAAAGTAGTAACTGCTGCCTTCAGACTGGGCACTAATGATGTTGAGTATCTTTTTATGCATTTATTGTCATTCATATACCTTCTTTGGTGAAATATCTATTCAAATCCTTTGCCCATTAAAAAAAAATAAGTTGTTTGTCTTCTTATCATTGAGTTGTCAGCGCTCTTCTTTACTTTTTACTAGACAATTCCTCTTACTCTAATTCCCTGTTACAGTTGATAATTCTTTACATTAAACTTTCCCTGCTAAAGTTACTGTGTGCTCTCTTTCTTTATTGGATTATGATTTATACAGCTGGCTACTAATATTTATTTTCTGATAAGCTGGCAGGAAATACCCAAAACTTAAATAAGAAAGAGAAAGCTTTGCAGCTAGACAGATTTGCATTTGGATCCCAGTTTTACCACTTACTTCTATGTGGCCTTAGACAAGGCATTTAACCTTTCTGAACTTGTGTGTTATCATCTGTAAAATAGGAAAATAATGGCCACCTCACAGGATTTTCTTAAAGATTAGAGATAATATATATAAATAGCTTACCACAGAGACAGGCACTTAGTAACAACTCAATACATGATAGCCAACAATAGCAGCAGCAAGTGATCAAGAGCTGCAAATAAGTCTTCAGGTGTTCTACAGGCAAGAGTACTATTCAGTCAAGCTACATTTGATGAAAAGGTCCTTGTTATTTAGTGAAAAGTTCCCTTGCCTGGCACCTGTGTGCTGCTATAGCTAAAGCAATGTGAGAGGGAGGGAGGGAGGGAGGGAGGGAAGCTAGATGATGATGATGGCTCAGGAAGGTCCTCGTGTGTTGGCTGCACTTTGGGAGTTCATCATGAATAAGGGTCTGGTCTTCAGCTTCAGAAGGTTCATTTTATCAGTACCCCAGGAGTGTCTAAGCTTTAGAAGGCTGACTTATGTCAACTAAACTCACATAGTTATTTTAGTCTTTAAGATAACTGGAGTGACTCACTCTTTCAGGGATTGATTTATTACTCAGCTGCTGACTATTATGAAGGTTAAAAAATGATCTACTTGTTCTCATATTTAACCGAACCATATATAGAGACACAACCTTAAAATAAAATGATCCAATTTCTATTGTAAAAACATAAAAGACAAAATATCACAGGCACCACTACAATGCTATGATAATAATTATTTAGCTTATCAACTGCTTTGAACGTTTTCATATATTCAGGTTTTGAGTGTAAGACTTTTTGCTGCCTTGAAGGATGTTAGAACCAGCATCAAAAATACACACAATGAAGGAATCATAAAGGGGTAATTAATACGTTGCCAAGTATAGGGTAGATCTCAGCATGGATGAAGTTAAAAAACTGCTAACTGGGGGCCTATGAGCAGTTTCTGCACTCTTGGGTGGGGCAGCAGGGGTGTGTTTGAGAAAACCCTTCTCTTGCTCTGAGAAGATCTTCTTAGTGATCTCTTTGGTTAGGCAGATGTAAGGTAAGTATTCACACATTGTCCTGGGGGAAGTCTGCTTCAGACACATTAAGTATTTTATTTGGATCTGTTATCTGGAGTGTGACCTTACTACCTGCAGAATTAGGACTATACATATATCCAAATTTGAGCTGTAGTATTTTCAAAATTGTATGTGCATGAAAGTCACAGGGTTTTTGCTCAAGCATTTGCACACTGAGAGCAGGAGGCCAGGTGATGGCAGGTGTGACATGTAGACCTAGTTGTGTTTTTACTGCACACCAGAGAACAGACTGGAGAGGCATGGACTACCTGGTTGATATACTACATGGTTTTATTTAGTTTAGAGCAGGCCATTTTTTGTCACAAAATCAGGGCTACAATGTATCCTGTACGATAATGGAAGACAGTAGATGTTCCCATCTACAGAGACAGAGAAAGGAGATGGGCTCTGGACTGAAAAAGGGGGAGACCTTAGGATCTGGTGGAAGTGGAGCCTAGATTCTGGGCACGGAGATGTACTGGCATTTGTCAGCTACTCTCTGTTGTAAGACCCTTGTTCCAAGGCCACTTATGACCCACTTAGACTAGTGTTTGCCATGTTTGGGGAGTTGAGGAATATGGGTATGTGCACACTTAAGGCACAGCATGTGGAAGGAACTGCTATTCCTGGAGAATGGAGTTACAAGATGACAAGAGGTGAATGCAGGAGCTTGGCACCTCAGTGTTCTGGGGCAAGGGCTCTGACTGAAATGACATGTGACAAACAGGGCTTCTGCTACAGGTGAGCTTTCCTCAGTGACCGCTGGAGGTACTTGAGAAATCTGATAAAAGGCTGGACATCCTGCAGCCATAGAGCAAGGGGCTCAAGCTATTGCTATTTGAGTATTAAAAGGCCAGAAAATTTTAGCATTTCCAGGCTATATAAATATATATATTTAAACACCATATGTATAACAAGATCACTAAAACTATCAGAAGCAGAAGGTCAATGCTAGGATAATATTAATAAACTGGCATTTCCAAATCATTCTTTTTTTTTTTAATTTTAAAGACATTTATTCTAAGCCAAATTTGAGGACCATAACCCAGAGCCACTTCCAAGAAGCCTTGAGCAAGTGGACTCGCTGTGGCTGGGTTACAATTTGGTTTTATACAGTTCAGGGAGACAGGGGTTACAGGTAGTCATTAAAGTTGGACATACATTGGCTTGGCCAGAAAAGGTGGAGCATCTCGAAGTGGGGGCTTACTGGCTATACGTGGGTTTAAAAATTCTTTGACTTGTAATTGGTAAAAGACATGAAGCTTTATCTAGAGGCTTGGAATGTTTCAACATAAGGAGCTGTTTATCAGATAAGCCACCAGACAAATGGACATAGATTTAATTTGTTCATAGATTTGTCGTGTAAATGGAGGAACTGCAGGTTTGTCTTGGATACTCTTAGGCCTGCTAATGGGTTACAAAGGAAGTCCCCAAGAAGGGAGGGCATGATGAGGCCTGTCTGACCTCCCTCCTCCTGGCAGGCAATTTAGCTTTAGGATATTCCTTTGGCCACAAGGGGGTCCATTCATTCAGTCAGCTGTGTGTGTGTGTGTGTGTGTGTGTGTGTGTGGCGGGAGGGTGAGCCTTAAAATTTTATTTTAGTTCACAATTCCCCCCTTTTGGACAAGATATGTCAGAAGCAGCATCTATGGCCAAACTCTCATTTTGTCCCATCCGTCATTCTCAATAATGAGTAGCAACACAGAAATGACATTTTTCCCTCTCTATTCCCCACCCCCCCTTTCTCATGCTACACTGGAAGTCTGGGTAGGGATCAAACAGTCCTTGCTCACAGTTCATACAGCACTCTGCTCCTCCTAACATCATACCTTGCTTCATGGCTCCTGCAGTTTACCAGCTCTGATGCTCTGCTCTGATTTGGTTTTGTTGATGTTTGTTTTGCTCTCCATCATTCCTTACCCTGTGCTTATGAACCATTGCCCATTATTTCTGACTTAGCACTTCTTAGTTCTCTTGGGCTTTTAGTAGTCTCTGACCTTCCTCCTTACCTGTTCTTTTCTTTCATCTTTCCTCCCTCTCTTCCCTAGTCTAGAAAAAGATTTAAAGTGCTTATAGCAATACAATTGATTAAATTAAAAGTATATGAATAAAAAGAAAGGAAAAACAAGAATGAGGAATAAGGGGGATATAAAAAATGTACCCCTAAGAATCCCAACTCTTGGTTACTGATGGGCCACCAGATGTTGCCATGCTCATTGGAGATAGGGTAAGAGGGGAGCTCATTAACTACCCAAGTCATAGGATTCATGAGGTAAAAACCAGCATTACCACCTGTTCCAGATATTAAAACCAAAAGGAATTCTCTCAAAGCATGTCATAAAGAAGAGCTTGTGTAATGCAATGAAGAGGGCTCTCAACAACAATTCTTAGGGTAGACACTGGGATGGAGTTCATTAGGGGTGACCACAGCAAAACTCAGTTCAATAAAAGCAGTTCTCCAGGGGCCAGTTCACTGTAGTCTCTTGGTCTAGATTTTAATCAATGCTGGATGGCAATAAGTTTAAGGCTCTTCTCCCTGGCAAGTCTTGGATCTAGCTGTTCTTTTTCCTGGTAAGTGCAGGACCCATTGCATTGTGGGTAGGGTGACTTTTTGACTTTGTTCCCAAGCCCTGCCAACCCAGTCTTCCACTACTGTGGCCTGGTACTGTAGCCCTGGGGATTCCTACTCTCAGCCCCAGTTGCTCTGGCCTCTGCTTCCTGTCAGTCTTTAAAATTCATCTATTCTCACTCAAAGTGCCCTCTCCATCCTTATGATCTGTATGATTTGGGGTAAGTTCCTTGTCCTTGCCAAGCCTTATTTTCCCCAAATATAAAAGGGGTCTGTATCTATGTCATGGTATGGATGTGAAGAGTAAATGACAAATCTTATGTCAATCCTCTAGCACGGTGCCTGGCAAATAGGAGGCAACTGACAAATCTCAGTTCTCTTCCATCTCTCTCTCTCCTCCCTCTCTTTTTAACATGGCATTTTATATTTACAGACCTATTAAATCTGTCACTCTACTTATTTCATATATGATTTTTCTTTCTTCCCCCCCCCCCTTTTTTTTTTTTTTGAGAGAGGGTCTTACTATGTTACCCAGGCTGTTCTCGAACTCCAGGGCTCAAGTAAATCCTTTCACCTTAGCATATATGATTTTTCTTTCTAAGGTGACTACATTTTTCAATCTTTTAAGCCTCTCCTCCTCTCAAATCATAGTGCTTTGGACATAGTAGGAACTCAGTGCCTGTGGATGGAATGATTCCAATTGAAATGTCATGAAAAGGAGTAGGGCAGGAGGGAGGACAGACTCCACACTTCGTCTGAGAGTTCATATGGCAGTTAATTACAGCCATGGCAGGGCCTTGTTCCCAAGGTCCCCTCATACCAATCTCCAAAACCATTTCCCTTGTCAGAGTCAGAGGGGGTTGGCAAAGCAGGGCATAGGGGGTAGGGGGAAGCTGGAACAGTCTTTTTTCTCCTCATTTAACTTCTGTAAATAAGTCAAATATTTTAATAGCCCTATTTTTCTCAATTCTCTTACAATTTAATTTGCAGGCTTGGTAATGCACAATGTTAATACAATAAGGAGGTTTTTTTCTTCAAGAGAAGCTTTGTGTTTGAATCAAAATCACATACAGAAGGAATCTGATTTTTTAAAAAATCTCTTTATTGTAGAACAATTCTCAAACATGAGCCAAACACTCCCTCTGCCCCTTTCTCTGCCAGCCTCCCCCAGTGCCACCTAAGGGGACTTCAAAATAACTCACGGTGTTTAGGGAAAATCAGCAGGCTGCTAACTTTTCCTAGGTAGGTCTTAATGAAAAAAAAAAAAAAAGAATTATTCTCCCCTCAGTTTATGGAACAAAGGGGATGGTAGAAGTCAGCCTGCCTGTTTAGGGAGCTCAAGCATATCAAAGCATGTCAGAGTATTCAGGGTGGCCATCACTTGCTCTGTTTGAATACATGCTTAATAACCCTCAAGGAAGAGACAGGACCAGTTGGAGCTAATGATTGCCCATTTTAATAATTGTACCTAGTAAGAGGGATACCTTTTAAAGTACCAAGCTAAAACATTTTACCTGGAGGAAAGGGACAGACAAGTGTGTACCAGCTCAATTCAGAAACACTGTTTGGGTATAAATGGAGGGGGGATTTTGAGTGTGACATTGAGTGATGATATAGAATATGGTATGCCCTCTCGGTAAAACCTCAGGTTGTTCTCTGTCTTTACCTGGTTTTGACCACTTTGGACACTTGCATATTGACTTCAGAAGCCAGGCGAGGTCCATCCAATCCAGATATCTCTCCATAACAAGACCTAAAAGAATCTTTTTACCTTATGAAGATGGAAGAATGAATTAATTAAGAATATCTGAGCCCATATTCTAGAATTAGAACTTTATACATTTTACCATATAGATAACTCATGCATAAATGTGCACACAAACCATAAAGGATATAAAGTAGATATGCTAAAGAACTGATAAAAATCCTTAGGCTTGGAGAGAGAATTACCAGTGTTCTGGCCAAATTCATAATTCTCTTATTCTAGTTCTATAGATTCTCTTCTATGCGCCACACCATTTTGTCCTAAACAACAGGTTTTATATTGACATATGTTTTTCTTCTTCTGGGGCCTTTATTCTTTGTCTTTATTATGTATTGGCTGGAGGTTCATTTTATGCACAGTTTTTATCAATGTATTGCCAAAATATTGTTGACTTCCTCCAATTAGCAAAGATAAATAATCAGACAAGCACTGCCGCAGCCTCCCACCACGACATCTACTCTCCTGCCTGTTCCAGATACACTAACTCTCTGCCTTTGACACAGAAGAGACCTCTGTCTCCTAAGTCCAACCCTTCCCCTTGTGTCTTTGATCCCATCCCCTTTCACCTACTCAAGGATATCGCTCTAGCAACTGTCCTTATCTTTGTCTCTTTATCATCTTTCCTCACTAGATCATTCTCATTAGCATGCACACATGCTGTTATTTCTCCCATCTAAAACATATTTCTTTTCTTGACCCCACTTTCCTCTGTAGCTACATCCTGTTTCTCTTTTCTCCTTTATAGCAAAACTCTTTGAAAGGGTTGCTGCAGCTGTTGCCTTTCTTCCATTATCTTGTAAACGCACTCCAAACAAGCATCCATTTCCATCAGTTCATTGAAACTACTTTTGTCAAGGCCAACAATGACTTCTCTGGAGCTCTATCCAATAGGCATGTCTCATTTCTCATGATTGGCCACCGCCCCTCCCCTCATTACCTCTCCAACCTTATCTGTGACCTCTCTGCTCCAGCAAACCGTCCTTACCGTTCCTCAAATCTTCTGAGCACACTCTCTCCTCAGTCCCTTGTATTGGCTGTTTCCTCTGCCTAGGATGCTTTTCCCCATGTATTTGCATGCCTGGCTCCCAGACCTCTTTTAAATCTTTGCCCATGTGTCACTTTTCAAGTGAGGCCTACCCTAACCACCCTATTTAAAATTTTAGCCCCACTCCACCTTGCTGTAACTCCCCTTTTGTATTAGTTAACTAGTACTACTTAACAAATTACCCCCAAACTTAGTAGCTTAGTGTAAGGTTTTCTGGTGGTGAAAGAAATAGAGAGAGACTTTCATCCTTCAACTATGATGAGAAAAAAAAAAGAAAAAAAGAAATAGAGAGAGAGAGAGAGTAGGGCCAAACAATGTGGCTTTATTGAGAGCTCCCGGGTGAGGTTCATGGGTCCCAGGAGAATGGGAACTGAGAAGTCACACCTGTTTGAAAGGGGTGAAGGCTTTTATACTGTTTGGGGTGGTCTAGGGACTTTGGTGGGAAGAGCTGGGGTTTTTCCACTGTGACCTTTGGTGGTCATTGAGAAGTAGGAGGGGCTGGTGGTATTTGCAGAATCCAAGAACCAAAACTTGGGTATGGACTCCAGGGACCAAAACCTTTTTATCCGGATGGGCATCTGGGAATGGTTATTCTTTAACTTAGCTGGGCCTAACAGTTATTTTTGTGGGTCTTGTGGACTTCTCTTTTTTTTTTCTTTAAGGAGGGGAGGGGCTGCCCACTGCCAGCCTTACTCCTAGAGCAACAATAGACATTTATTAGCATAGTTTCTGTGAGTTGGGAATTAGGAATCACTTCAGCTGGGTGGTTCAGGCTTGGGGTCATCAACCACAACCCAAAGCCACACCCAAGAATCCTTGAGCAAGTGGATTTGGTGTGGCTGGGTTACAGTTAGCTTTTATACGTTTCAGGGAGACAGGGGTTACAGGTAAAGTCATAAATCAATACGTGGGAGGCATACATTGGTTTGGCAGAAAAGGTGGGCCATCTCAAAGGGGGGGGTGCTTACAGGTTATAGGTGGGTTTAAAGATTCTTTGACTTGTAATTGGCTAAAGACATGAAGCTTTGTCTAAAGGCTTGGAATGTTTTAAGATAAGGAGCTACTAATCTGAGACAAGCCGCTGGACATATATTTGTTGTGTAAATTGAGGACCTGCAGGTTTGTCCTGAATACCCTTAGGACTGTTAATGGGTTACAAAGGATGTCTCCAAGAAGGGAGGGGAGCATGTCTGACCTCCCTCCTTGTGGCAGGCAATTTAGTTTTACGATAATGCCTTGGCCAAGAGGGAGTCCATTCAGTCAGCCAATGAGGGGGAACCCTTAAGATTTTATTTTAGTTCACAGTCACATGTCAGCCACAGTTGCAACAATTACCTGGAGGCTTGACTGGGGCTGGAGGTTCACTTCCAATATGGCTTATTCACATGGCTGTTGGCAGGAGGCCTCAGTTCCTCTGCACATAGACCGAGTCTCCCAGGGATGCTTGAAGGTACTTCATGACATGGCAGCTGGTTTCCCCCAGAACAAGCAATCCAAGAAAGCCAGACAGAAGCTGCAATGTCTTTTATAATCTAGCATTGGAAGTAACACAATCACTTCTGCAATATCCTGCTGATTTCACAAGGCAACCCTATTCAGTATGGGAGGAAATACAAGGTCAATGAACAAATTTCAATGACCCCTGTGTTTTTTATAATCTTCTCCCTTAACTAACTACTTGATCTTTTAAGTTATTTCCCAGAAATGATGGATTTTCTGCAAGACAATGGAGTTGAGATTCTGAAGGCCCCGGAGCAGACTTCCTGATGCCAAGACTCACTACCCCCCTTGACCTGCCCCAAAGCACGTGGCCCATTCTTAAAAAGCCATGATCTCTATTAGTCAGGAAATGGATTTAAGGCAGCTTCTCTCATTCTTCCCACAAGATGTTTTTCCTATTAAAAAATTCTTTCTTCCTTGGCAGTCCCGGTTGGTTGTCTCCATAATTGGATCTTTGTGCAACCAGCAACCAGACCTAGGCTGAAACTGCCTCGTGGTTTCAATAACATTTCCAGGAGGTGAGGATCACTGGGAGAAATCTTGGAGCCTGGCAACCACACCTTTACTTGACTTTTTCCATAGTGCTTATCACCTTCTAACATACAATATAATTTGCTTACTTAAAATATGATTGTTTTTAGTCTACCCATGCTAGGGTATAAGCTCGTTGAAGGCAGAGATTTTGATCTGTTTTGTTGACTATTCTATCTTTAGTGTCTAGCAGAGTGTCTCGTGTATAACAAGTACTCAAACATTTGTCAGATGAATAATTGAGTATAAAGCTCTGCAAAATTCTGTCTGCCTACCCTGATTATCATTCTGGAGCAGCTTCTCTTGCTTAAATTGCAAGGAGCTACAGCTCCAGCCAGCTCTTTACACTTCTCTGAGCACTCAGTGACCTGTATTTATTTTCTGACCCAATCTATTTAGTGCCTTTGCTGGAGTGAATAACTTCCTGATTGGGACTTGATCTAAAAACAAATTCCTCCCCATTGGAACAACCACCACCACCACCAGCATACACACACACATACACACACACACACACAGGTTTTTTGTTTGTTTGTTTGGTTTTGGTTTTCTGGCCATTTTATGCCCCGTATATCCAAAAGTAACAGGGTCTCACCCACAGTGTCTTCTGGCCCCATCAGGCCCCCCAGCTAAAGAGGAAATAATAATAAGTAGAAGGAACAAGTTAAAGGAGAACTCTGGGGTAGGCTGGCTGTAAGAGAAGCTAGGGCACGTGATGGCTCTGTTCTGTGGCTTAGGAGAGGAATTTTTAACATCTGGGTGGTGCTGCTGCCACCAGAGTTCAGGAATTACTGAGAGGAGAAGCAGCACCTGTTCTCTGGGTCTCGGCAGTGCCAGGAGCCAAGAGGGTGAGGGACATGCTGGTGCCTGAGGAAGTGGGAATCCCAGCTGAAGGGTGCGGTAAAGTGCTGGCAGCAGCTGCACAGGGCAAGGGCTGAGCTGCTCAGGAGAGGCCCTGGCTTCTCCTCCTCCTCCTCCTCATAATCCCCCGCCTGTGTTCTTGGACCCATCCTGACTTTCCCTCACAGACTCTTGCTTTAACCCCCTCCCCACACTCATTCCTTGGCTTCTTCCTATTCCTTTCCCTCAGCCTGCAAGCATACTTTGCTCTCCCCTATCCTAAAAATCTCTTCTCCCTCCTGGGACCACTTTCTCTCAGGTCTTAGCCGTCCCTCAAATAAAACAAGCACACTCACCAAACCACACTTCTCTACTATTTGGTTCTGTTTCCAACCACCAGCTAGAGTTGCATTTGTCTTTATTAAACAAGCTATCCATATGCTTGGCTTTCCTCGTCGATTTATTTATTAATTTATTCCATAAGCAATGTATTGAGGACCAACTATGTATAATATACTGGGAACAGAGAAATGGATTATGATTTCTACCCTCAAGGAGATTTCTGCCCAATAGAGGACATAGATAGATTTTTTAAATTACAATATAATGTAAGTATAACAAACAAGGCATGTGCAATGGTCAGAGGTAACACAGAAGAGAAAGTCGTTGACTAGAGAGAAGAGAGGCAGGAACCAGAGATGGTTTCCTGGAGGACGTAGAGTCTCAACTAGATTTCGAAGGATAACAGGTGAATGTAGGGGACAACAGGGGACTTTGGAAGCTAAACAAGAGATGCTGGTCAACTTCATCAGCTGCCACAGAGAGATGCTGTGAAATGAGGGAAAGACACCTAAAAGTTGGCAGCATGAAGGTCATCGTGGGACTTTGCCAATACAATTGGAATGAAGAGGGCCGCTGTGGGACGAGAAGCAGACAAGGGGTGCGAGAGGGTAGAAATGGTTTTGGCAGAAGCTTGGCTAATGTGGGGGAACTAGAGAGAAGTGCAGGGGGAAGGGAGATAGGGTTGGTGATGATCAATGCCTGGCACAGGCTCAATTAGTAGGTGGTAGAGCCAAATGCAAATTCCCGTCCTTGGATGCCAATCCCATGCTTACTCTATTGCATTAGGAAGGCCTGGAGGAAAATTTCCACATTCGAAGAGTTCTTAGGTAACAGGGAGAGATGAGAGAGATTGGTGGGACCATTTGAGGCAACTCAGGGGTCTCATTGCTTATTGAGGAGAAATAAAGCTCTGGGCTTCCTGTGTTTTGACGGGGCCAAACTCCCCTCCCAAGTTCTCCCCACATGGCTTCTTAGCCAGACTTCTTCAAAGTCTGGAGGATTGCCTGATATCTCCACCCGAGGGTAGGGCTGAGGATGGACCTTATCTCGTAACAGCCCCTGAGATGTCCCTGTGCCCCTCCCATTGCAGGTGGGTAGCTTGGCCATCAGGAGAGGGGTCTGCAGCTGCTGAGGATGCTGGGATGTGACACCGAAGTTCTGCTGGTCGCCCAGAGCAGGGAAGGAGTGTCCCTCTCAGGAGGATTGTAGGATGCCCCTAAGATACCACCACAGGAGGCTGTGGCCACATTGACTGAAAGGAGCTCTTTATCCAGTCCCTGACTTAGGGACAGTCTCAGATGTGGATGGTCACAAAAATCACATACTTACGTCTAAAAGTTTAAAAATGCCATTCATAAAGAATGAAAAAAATCACTCGTGATCATATCACCTAGAAATGACTGCTGTTAACATTTGGGGTAAGTCTTTCCAGAACGTCTTTCTTTGTTGGCTTTTTTCCCTTAATATGCAAACTTCATTTCTTATTTACAAATATAGTTCAAAATGCCTCATTTTAAATGGTTGTATAGTATTCCTGTGAATAAACCAAAGGGGTATTTGACTGGGACAAGAAGATATTGGAATCCTATATTCCACCTCACCAATCTCCCACCAGGCAACCGCCCCGGGTACCACATTCTCACTCTCTCACTATTTCTGAAACAGGGCTCCTTCCTCCCAACCAGTTCCTCCTCCTAAAGTTTCATTATTCTAATCACTCACACTTAAACCTCTGTAGTAGCTTCCTATTCCTTCTCTTGACATCTTCTCTTTGCAGATTTATATATCTATATATAAAGAGATGTATTATAAGGAATTGGCTCACGTGCTTATGGAGGCTGACAAGTCCAACATCTGCTGAGTCAATGTCCCAGGTCAAGTCTGAAGGCCAGCAGTCTGAACCAGAAAGGAAGAGCTGATAGACCAGTTCAAAAGTCATCAGGCAGGAGAATTCTCTCTTACTCAGGGGAGGGTCAACCTTTTGTTCAGGCCTTCAACTGATTGGGCGAGGCCCACCCACATTACAGAGAGAAATCTGCTTTATGGAGTCTACCAATTTAAATGTTAACCTCACCCAATAACAATCCTCACAAACACACTCAGAATAATGTTTGAACAAATATCTAGACACCCCGTTGCCCACTCAAGTTGTCACATGAAATTAACCATCACGACTATTATCAGTAATAATAAATTATAGGCACAGAGTAACATAAAAATACATCACAGGATATTAGCCAGTATGGGGATGGTAGGTGTAGGGTAGGCCTCGGAGGAAGGGCTTGATGAAGGCTTCCTAAAAGTGATGGAGTCTGATAAACTATGAGTTGTTCAGGAGGAGATGCCTAGAAGGCATTCAATATAGACAGCTGGGGCTCAGCGGAGGCAGCTGCTAGTAATAAGGTTTTTGGGACCAGGTTAGAACCTGAAGTCATAAGAATGGATGAGATCAGTCAGGAAAAAAATGTACAGGTGAAAAGAAGGGAATGGAGTCATAAGGAATAACAGCATTTTATAGGCAGCCAACACAGAGGGCTAGCTAAAAGAAGTATGTATTGAACCAGAATGTTCCCCAAAATCTAAGACTTGATACAAATCAATGCCTTCTTCTTTTAAAAATTTTTATTGTATTTTTAATTGACACATAATAATTGTACATATTTATGGAGTACAGTGTGATGTTTTAATACATGGGCACATTGTGTAATTATCCAATCAGGGTATTTAGGATATCCATCACCCACATACCAGTTCTTTGTGATAAAAACATCCAAATTCCTCTCTTTTAGCCTTTTTTGAAATATGCAACACATTATTGTTAACTATAGCCACTCTACTGTGCATTAGAACACCAGAATTCATTTCTCTTATCTAACTGTAACATTGTAAACATTGTCCAATCTCTACTTAAACCCCACTTCCCCTAGCCTCTGATAACCTCTATTCTTTACTTCTATGAGCTCAACTTTTTAAAATTCCACATGAGTGGGATCATGTGGCATTTGTTTTTCTTTGCCTGGCTTATTTCACTTAACACAGTGTCCTCCAATTTCATCCATACTGTTGCAAATGACAGGATTTCATTTGTTTGTGTGGCTAACTAGTATTCCATTGTGTACATATACCACATTTGGACTCTGAGCCAGACTGCTTGGATCTGAATGCCAGTTCTGCTATTTACTAATCGTATGACTTTGGTCAAGTTACTTAACCTCTCTGTGATTCCGTTTCTCTATCTATAAAATGAGGATAATAATAGGACCTACTCACAGGGTCGTCATGAGGAAAGAGTGAGTTTATATGTACATATAGGTAAACACTTCACATGTATATGTATTTATGTAAAGTGTTTAAGCTGGTGCCTGGAATAGAAGAAACACTAGCGTAGGATGCCCAGCTCCCCTGCCTTTTGTCTGTCCTGACCGAGAAACACAGAGTGCCTTCACTGCGCTGTGACCTGGCCAGTGAGTGTTTTCCCTGCAGGCTTGAACTCAAACTGGGGCCTTGAACATTCCCAGGCACTGATAAAGGTGTTTTTGCCCAAAACACTGAAAGAAACTAGCCCCAGACCTGAGCCAAATTCTTTAAGTCCTCATATTAACTCCATACCCCGACCCCCTCATTGTGGACATACCTAGATAGAGCATCCCTTGTCTCACTGTTCCTTTGTAAGGATGCTGTATGGAAGTTACCCTAATACAGCAAATGCTTTGGATCTATCACCCTGGCATTTAGAGCTTCCTTCTTTCTTTGGCATCCCAACCTCCCTCCTCCCAGGACGATTTGGGAAAGTATCTTGTAGGAACTCCTCAGCTGACGCCTTTGAGGGCAACTCTGGCCACAAGTTTGACCAGGACAGAACAACTATATCTAAGTGTTTGTTATTCCTTGGTGGAGTCATCGAGGCACCAGGTATTACAGGAGAGGAGACCAGGGAAATCTCAAGAGGCTAGTGTGTCCCCTACACAATTGGGAGTCTTTCTGTGTCTTTTCCTTGATTTCCCTTTCTTTCTTAGGTCTCCACCAAACCACATGCATCCTCACCCCAGCCCAGAGCATCAATGATGTGCCCTCATGTGTCAGTGGAGTAAGAGTCTGACCCTCGATGCCCCCTTGATAGAAAGACCTCGCCTCCAGGATCAGAAGCCATCTTTATGTTTTATTCCTGTCCAGCGCGCTTTCCTTCAGCTTCCTCCATCAGTCATCGCATGGTCCCCCTGAGCTCCTGTTCTGAGGTCCTTTGCCCAAGACACTTGTGCTTCCCACACTGTCTGAGCAGTGGATGTTGCTGGTCTCCAGCTTTTCCTGCTCTTGGGGCTCTGCAGTGGTCTCCTTGCTCCTGGGTGCAGTGTGCTCTGTTTCCCTGCACCAACTGGGGATATCAGATCAGGAAGGAAAGACTGATTCAGGGAAGGAAATCAAGAATGTTACAGTGTAGGAGCCCCAAGAGCACTGGCCTAGAGATAAGCATCTGGTTCACCCTGACTGCCACTAGCTTGCTGGGTAACCCAGCAAGTCTCTCACCTTGGTTTTCTTTCCTAGTTAAAAAATGAGAGGGTTGGATGAGGTCAGTAGTTTGCAAACTTTTCACCATCACAGACCTCTTTTATTATTTCTTTTTGCATGGCCTTTGTGTTTCGAAAGATTTGATCTTCCCCCCAAAACCTTGCAGTTTAACAAATTACTTTTCTTTTTTATGTTTTTTTTAAATTTATTTAAATTGTATATATCTAAGATATGCTACGTGTTTTGATATACAACTATAGTGAAATGATTATCACAAACAAATTAATATATTCATCCTTCTCGATAGTTACTTACCCCTACTTTTTTGTAATAAGAGTACCTAAAATTTACCCTCTCAGCAAACTTTCAGTATACTTTACAATATGATTAACTATAGTCCTCATGCTGTACATTAGATCTTCAGACTTATTTATTCTACCTAACTACAAATGTATACCCTTTGACCTACATCTCCCCATTTCTTCCCCCTTTGCATCCATGGTAATCACTCTGTACTTTCTATTTATTTGACTTTTTTTTTTTTTTTAGATTCTATATGTAAGTGAGAGCATATAGTATTTTTCTTTCAATATCTATGGCTTATTTGACTTGGCATAATGTTCTCCGGATTTATCCATGTTGTCACAAATTATAATATCTCCTTTTTAAAGGCTGAATAATACTCCATTGTGTGTGTGTGTATACATATGTATTCCATAATTTTATTTATCCATTCATCCATTAATGGGCACTTAGGTTGTTTGTACATCTTGGCTATTGTGAATAATGCTACAATGAGCACAGGAGAGCAACTATCTCTATGGGGTGCTGATTTCATTTCTTTTGGGTATATACCCAACAGATGGGCTGTTTTCCATCCTTTTACTAATCAAAGACTTAAATCAACAAGGGAAAGAGAATTTTATAACATAGAGTTGATAAAACCTTAACTAAAAGCAAACATAAATAAGCCTGACTTTTAAAAAGCTTTTGTTGTATTAGTCCTAGTAAGTGCATGATTTTCACCAGACTTTTTTGAAATATCGAAAACAGTTCTAACTCTCCCATTGCCCCTTCAGTGCAAACCTGAGTATCTAAGGTCCCTGGGCTGGAGCCATTTGGGTAGATGATTTCAAAAGTCCCTTCCACTGCAAAAACGTTCTAAGTCAGTGATTTCTTTATGTTGTTGGTGAGTTGAAGCAGTCTGGAGGCCAGAGGTCCAACCAAAAAAGGCATATGGGGCTGGCTGTGGTTCTGTGTATAGTACAGTCAACCTTCCTCCATTTTGATGCTGTCATTCAAACTTGGGGTTACTTTCCCCTGGGTTGAGTTGGAGTCTATCTTTGCTGAGTTTATGAAACATTTGCTAACTACGGTAGCATGTATCAAAACCCCTGGTAGCTTGCAGGGGCTGTTGGTCATGACAGGGGAGGCACAGTACTTACCAGCACTTAATCTTCCCATGAAAATGGTAGTCTAATAAAGAGTCATTTTTACCATCTTAAATATCTTCACTTCCCTGGAATTTTTATAGCATTGATAAAACCATGTATTAATTGAGCAAATATGTTTTGAGCCAGGAGCTGTGCCAGACATTGCTGGGGGTGGGGGTGCTACTGAAGTATATAAGATAAAGCTTAATTGCATTTCTAGAAGACATTTTTTAACAGATAAGCCTTTGCAAATGACATGTATTACAGACGTTTTGTTCTCATTCTCACTTCTGGGGAAACACAACAAGAGATGGAACAGAAAAGAAAGAATCCAAAAGAAGAGCTGGGGGAGCTGAAGGCTGCTGAAGGTTGCCAGAGAAGCAGACCCAACAAAGGAGTTAGGACATTGGGCTTCTGCTTCGGTAGTCTGGGGTCCACTTTGACTATACCTGTTGGGTATCATTAGTTAATAGAGGTGTAAAAAAGATGCTGAATGCAGACCAGAATGATTCAGTAAGTCTACTCAAGAAATATTTATTACTCACCTACCATATGCCAAACACTGTGTGGGATTATAATGGCAAATAAGTCATGGTCCTTGTCTTCAAGGAGTTCTGAAATCAAAGGAGAAGTCACATAGTGGAATACACACCCCTGGATGAAAAGTGCCACATGAGTACCAAGCAACACAGGGAAGAAAATGGTTAATTCCATTGTAGGTTATTGCAACCACCTCACAGATGAAGTGACATTGAGCCTGGGCCATGAAGTAAGTTTCAGCCTAATCACTAAGGCTGTTGCAGGCATGGAAAGCCACATGGGCGAAGCTGTGAACACATAGTCAGAGGGGGCTGGACTTGAAGAGTGGGGAGAAGGCAAAAATTTGAAGATGAAACAGTATTGGGTCAGATTCAGAAGAATCTAGTATTGTCATAAAGAATAATTTTAGTTAAAATATTTATCTAGGCCAGGCGCGGTGGCTCCTACCTCTAATCCTAGCACTCTGGGAGGCCGAGGCAGGTGGATTGTTTGAGCTCAGAAGTTCGAGACCAGCCTGAGCAAGAGCAAGACCCTGTCTCTACTAAAAATAGAAAGAAAATTAGCTGGACAACTAAAAATTATATAGAAAAAATTAGCCAGGCGTGGTGGCACATGCCTGTAGTCCCAGCCACTCAGGAGGCTGATGCAGGAGGATCGCTTGAGCCCAGGAGTTTGAGGTTGCTGTGAGCTAGGCTGATGCCATGGCACTCTAGTCCAGGCAACAGAGTGAGATTCTGTCTCAAAAAAATAAATAAATAAAATAAATAATAAAATAAAATAAAAAATAAAAATTTGTCTCCCCTCCCAGGATTTATCAGATTATGACTCTCAGGTGACTATTCAGCCAATGAACGGACATTCAGTAATCAGGAAAAACAGGTTTGTTATGTTAGATATTGATAGATAACAGGTAAGAAGTTCTATTTACAAGGATGTTTTACTTTGTCTTTTTAAAAATAATCTTAGAATTCCTATATAAATCACCCATTTTTATTTCCACAGGTTGTAAAAGTATTTTTAAAACTTGAACATGCTTCAGATCTATCACAGAAATAGATTTGATTTGACAAAATAGATTTGTCAAATAAAGGACAAATATTTTCATTTTATAGAAACAATTTATACCTTAAAATTGTATTTATTATTGTGTTAATAGCTATATCTTACTCTCAAGACTTAGCATTGGCTTTGTTAAGCATATGAGAAAACAAGATTAATTGTGTTTACAATAATATATGAATATATAAAACATGTTAATGTTTTATGGATAACTATTAAACTCTGATTAAAAGGTATATGTTGAGCTATCTATAGGAAGTTAAATAAAAGGACTAGATTGTGATTGTGGTATGTGGAGGGGTATGTGTGTGTATGTATGTAAGAAAGGAAGGAAGTGGAACAGAGATATGTTGAGAAAAGAGGCTGGGGAAATGAAGTTTCTGGAACATTATTTTGTGGAAACAAATGCCAATTAAAAAGCTAAAAGGAAGAAACTTACTAAGAGGGAAGATTTTGTGAAATATGTAAATGAAGACAGGAAAGGAAATTTTAGCAGTTTAAGATAATATAAGTAAATATTTATACATGAAAAATGCATGGGTACAGGTATATAGTACATGCAGTATACAAAATATGCATTGCTGAATGTATGTTATACTATGCAATAAATATTAAACACTTGCTATGGGCCAGGCACACATATGGTTATTTTTTTCCTTTCTTGGCATTTTTTCTATATCTCTATGCATTTGACAGAAGAAAAGCTGTAGAATTTTCTATAATAATTTTTTATTTTATTTATTCATTCATTTATTTATTTATTTTAAAGACAAGGTCTCCCTCTGTTGTCTAGGCTGGGACGCAGTTGGCAATCACAGCTCACTGCAACCTCAAACTCCTGGATTCAAGTTCTTTTCCCGCCTCAACCTCCTGAGTATCTGGGACTACAGGTGCGTGGCACCACACTGGCTAATTTTTTAAAGTTTTTTGTAGAAATAGGGTCCCGAACTCCTGGCCTCAGGTGATCTTCCTAACTCATCCTCCAAAAATGCTGGGATTACAGGCATGAGCCACCATGCCCACCCTCTACAATGATTTGAACTTTCTTCCGCTGTATAATAATTGCATGGGGGTATATTTTTAAATGTATCAAGTCAGAGTTGAGGTGTAACATGGGTGAGATCGTTTAAGTGGGTAATTTAGTTTGTTTACATTCAAGGTTATTATTGATAGGTAAAGACCTATTCCTGTCATTTTGTTAATTGTTTTCTGGTTGTTTTATATATCCTTCGTTCCTTTCATTCTCTCTTATTATCACTGTGGTTTGGTTGTTCTCTGTAGTGATAACATTTAAGTCCTTTGTCTTTCTCATTTGTGTGTCTGCTCTTTTTTACCAGTGAATTTTATACTTTTGTGTGTTTTCATGATGGTAGATATCTTCCTTTTCACTTCCATGCATAGGATTCCCTTAAGCAGGAAACAAACTTTTAAGCAGGACTCATAGTTAACTAGACTCAAAGCTTGGCAGAAAACATGTGATCACCTGTGATCTGTGTGACGTGAGACTACGACCTCCTGGGTTTACCTGTATGTCAGCAACACATGTCTACTGAGATCCTTTCCGGAGAAGTTCTAAAGGACCGTCACATTATCCCTTCGCATGTGTGGTACCTCTCCACTGCATATAAAAAGGCAGCTAGAACACTCGCTAGAAAAGAGACAGAAACAGAGCAGAATGGGGGTGGGGCTGAGGAAGGCATAGCCTTTAAGCTCTGACTCATTTTTCTGTCGAGCCACTTTTTAGTCTGAGTTTTTAGCTCTATCAACACACCAGGGGGCACTGGGGACAGCCTCTTGGACTCCTGGAAACTGGGCTGAGGGTGTGGTTGCTGTGGCAGCTGTTCTCAGAGTGTGACTGGATGGGGCTCAGTCTCAGCTGTACTTGTGGTGACAAGGAGAGTGCCATGGCCCCCACCACCCACTTCCCTCCCCTGACTGCTTCCTACTCGCTGAGCATGCTAACAAAAGATCCCACCTCAAGGCCTCCTGGAGGAGGTGAGGGAGAGGGGACAGGCCACAGAAGAGGGTGAAGAAGGGAGTGAGGAAGATTTGCATTCATCTTGTCCAGGGGTGGGGAACCTCTTCATGTTGGAAGGCTGTGTTAATTTTGCTGTAATCAATAAGACTGCATTCAAGAAACTTCAATTAGATATACTTAAAAATGTACATTATTTTGTAAAAATCTAACTAGTATATACTTAATAATTTCAAAAAGTAAAAACTATTTCTTAATTTTAAAGTTAACTAACCTACTATTTTTTTTTATTTCGGCATATTATGGGGGTACAGATTTTAAGGTTTCAATAAATGCCCATTTCCTCCCCTCCCCCCAGAAGTCTGAGTCTCCATCATGACCATCCCCCAGATGGTGCACATCTCACTCATTATGTATGTATATACCCGCCCCCTCCCCCCTCCCACCTGCCCAATACCCTATTACTGTAGTACCTATGTGTCCACTTAGGTGCTACTCAGTTAATACCAGTTTTCTGGAGAATATATCTGACTAACCTACTATTTTTAAAGTTAAATAACTTTTTAATGACTTTATTGAGTCTGCTTTTTGTTGGAAAACTTTTGAATATTTGGTTGCAGCATGGAGGTCAGCAGTTTCAGTTGATCCTCTAGATGGGTATCAATCATTTGTGACCTTCAGGGCATCTTGATTTGGGGTAGGTAGGACAATGTAGATTCACAGCAGTAAGTGATTGACAAGCAAGAAAGCATTTTCAGGCATGTTTTGGAAGGCATGGGTATTCTACTTCATTTTTCCATATTTCAATTGGCTCTTTATTAGCATCATACAATGACTTTAAAATGTCATCTACTGAGAGCTCAATCAATTCCATCTGTACTTATTTAGGTGTCTTAGGGTTACCAACTAGATGAGGCTGAAATGCTAATTTGAGTGTGATGTCATGATTCTCAAAGTCAGTGAACCTCTCATTGTATCCTCCAATTAATATGTCTATTACAGCTGTGTATTCTTCAAATGATTTGCATATATTAAATATCATCCTGTTAATCAATGACCTTTGCTAACTGGGAAAAATGTTCACCTGAAATTTCCTTTTGAAGAAGTCTTTTGAAAAAAGATAGCTTTTTTCTAAATGCTTGGATTTTTGCCATATATTATATATAGACTTAGTTTTACCTTGCAAAGAAGTATTCAAGCTGTTTTGATTTGACATATCACACAGAAATGCTGTATTCCTATAGAAATCTTCTTTCAATAATTCACATTGTTGATTCTGTTCTTCATACAATTTAACTGTCTGTTCTCACAGAGATAAAATTTTGGCTAATACCTGTCCCTGTGATAGCCAACACACTTTAGAATGGTATTGCAAATCCACACCAAATACCTCATTGTTCAACTTTAGCATGTTATGAAACTGAAGATGCCATGTTGCATTTGCAGGGGAATAGTTAATAATACTTATAACTTGTTGCAAAGTGTCGCTTAAACTAGTAGCTGTAGCACAGAGATTTTGCTGATACAAGATACAATGAAAAGAAATGAGAGCATTTGGATCTGTTAATACTTTTTTATCTATGCAATAAACCCTTCATGTTTTCCTGTCATGGAAGGTGCACCATCTGTACATACACTCACTAAATTTGCCAAATTCAATGAGTGAAGTTGTTGAAGATATCTATTCCCTGTGTTCTGTTTGCAAGAGTGCCCAAAGTGAGTAATTCTTCATAGCAAAGAAAATCTTCTGCCATGATCCAAATGAAGTATAAAACCTGCGCCAAGTCAGTAGTATCAGTTGATTCAACCAAAGCAATTGAATAATATACATTTTCTTTTTGAAGTATTGCATGAAGTTGTTCTGTTAAGTTAAAGGCTAATTCATGCTGCCAGTCAGTTATGGTTCTCCTTGAAAGAGGCAGTTGTTTGTACTTTGAAACATTATCAGGGTCTAAGCATCCTACAACTTTGACAATGCATTCTTTCACAATTTCTACATCACTGAATGGCTTCCCTTTTTTCCCCAAGTATATAAACTATTTTATAAGTTCCTTCAGTGGCATTATTTCCAGGTCTTATTGCTGCTTGAAAGAATTGTCTTTGCTTTTGCTTTTCATCTTTTAATTCCTGCAATGCAACCTTTCATGCCCCTCTCTCTAAATTAAAATATCTGTGGTTCTTATGAGTGTTATACTGCTGATGAACATTGACTTTCTTTAATGTTGATATTGCAGTATCACAAAGCAAGCAAATCATCTTATCTTTAGCAGAAACAAGATAATATTGCAATTCTCAATCATCATGAAAAAATCTGTTTTCTTCCTTAAGCATTCTTTTGTCTTCTTTGACATGATGGACTGTTAAGCATACAGAATTAAAAAACACTGTCAAGCTGTGCAACTATTCACAAATTCCACTTCAAACAGAAACACAGTGCACCATTGTCAAAAACTGATAACAGACTGGTGTACTCGACCCCCATAAACTCTCAACAACCAGAATTGGTGATAGTGGTGCCAATTAGGTGGGGGAAATTAGAACCAAATCACAAGCTTAGCAGCCGTCAATTTAGTCCTTATGGCTTACTAATGTTCTAATTGCCCTGGTCAATCCGGGGGAATTATTTCATTGAAAGTTATCTTATTTTTTGGAATTTTAAATGCATTCATTTAAAAAATAAAATAAAAATATAAAAGATGAACAAAAATGTATTAATAAAAAATAAAAGAATTTGTTCTGTAAAATTTGGATTCAGTCAAAAGGCCACACTTAAGGACCTAGAAGGCCACTGGTGGCCTTAAGGCAGCAGATTCCACACCCCTGGTCTTGTCCCATGTATGGCAATGTCCAGTGCTGGCTCAGGCACTGTACCCGTAAGTAGCATAAGCAGCCCATGCCTAGAGAGTGGATGGGCATCTGTGAGGGTAAACACAGGGGTGACTTGGACAGGACGGTGCTCCTTGGGACCTTCCCATAATTTCTTATTGTTGTTCAGAGTAATATCACCCTGGGTAGGGGTCCAGCTATACCCTCTGTGGGTACCTCAGACTGGCCTGCAGAGGTGACTCTACAATCATTATAACTTGGTGGCTATCTATGGCCTACTATGTGCAAGGTCCTCTTTGGACCACAGGACTCATGTTAGATCACAGTGAACTTCCTCCTGGCCTAACAAGAGCTCAGACCATTTTTCTGTTTCATTCACTGAGGAGCACTATTCATAAACTATGCAACTAAATTTATCTTTATCTTTATTATTTTTGGAAATTTCGCATACCTAGATGAACATTACCAGATCTGACTTTCTCTACCTACTAGCAGTGGGACCTTGGGTAAGTCAGTTTCCTCATTTGTAAAATGCAAGTAATAACAGTCAACCTGCCTCAGAAGGTTGTCGTGAGGATTAAATGAGATTATTCAAGTGACATGCTTGGCCTTGGGCCCAACACATTTATTGCTTAATAAATGTTAGCTCTCATCATGATCTTCACTTACTTGCTTAATGATTTATAACAGATAACGCACTCAACATACAACTTTACTGTCAGAGAGGTTGCCATCACCTACCATGTTGTCAATGTGCTGCACAGAGAGATGTTGTAATCAACTGACACACAAGGAAAATCAACCAATCATAACTCAGTTAAGCCTTCCTTACAAGCCATTTGCACCCAGATGTGTGTGCTCACACCAGCTAGTGTAACGCCATAACTGAAGAGTTGTAGTTCATGGGACACTTCCAAAAATGGCGTCAAGTAATTAAAAAACAAATGACCTATCAATGACAAGCAATTATAAAATATTGTTTAACTTATTGCAAAAATATCTGCAAGTGGCAGAGGATGGAATATGTGCAGGCAACCTAAACCAGCATATTCAAAAGGACAGAGGTGGCACCTGGAGGAAAGCAGCTTGTTTCATGAGGGGCTTCTGCTGAGAATGCCTTGTTCTCTATAGCCCCTACGGGGAGAGACCAAAGGGCTTCCAGCACCACTCTGACAGGCACCTGGGGAGGTTCTGAAGCTGTCCCATGCAAGCACATTTCTTCCTTGAAGCTTGGAAATTCTCCTCAGGAGATTAGACCCCTCTTGATTGGGTAAGTTGAGTCAGTATGCTTTCTGCTGCCTGTCCAAAGAGAAATGCCAGATTCAGGTGTAAACGGAAGGAAAAACAAGGGCCACGTGTTAACAGGACCCAGCGCTGGTGGGCCAACAGGATTTGGGGCTACCTCTGGGATATTCTGCCACCACATATCTTGGCCTATTGTGGCACTAAGTTTGAAGATGGGAGTAAGAGGCAGTTGGGAGTAAAGGAAAAAAAAGTAGCTTTGATTTGCATGGCATTTTGCAGTTTATGAAGGTTTCATAAGCATTTTCTCATTTGAACCTCCAAAAAAACCCTGGAAGTGGGAGAGACATGGTCATTCCCACTTAACAGATGAAGAAACTGAACTCAGATGAAGTGACCTGCTCCATGGGAGGTCTGGGTTCACAGCCTGGTTGTGCCATGAATTTTATGTAAACAGAACCAAGTCATTTAACTTCTTTAGTTTCAGTCTCCTCCTCTATAAAGTGTGCAGGTTGGATTAGCTGCTCTCAAATAAGCTAATATTTCAGCTCTAATATTCTCCAACTTAACTAATTAAGTACATAGACCCTCCTGGCTTACTAATCATGCTCAGTGAATGTCCACGCTACCCAAATGACCATCTCAGCCAAGAACTCACATCTCTGAAGGAAGCATTCGAACTCCCCTCTCCTCCTTGTTGCTAGGGTCACTTAGGCACCCACTTTAAACACTAGAAACTTCAGGGACTCTCCTTCTCTGCCATGTATACCGGCTGCCACTGTAGGGGCCCTGTGCAGGAGAGAGGACCTTCAAGCTTGTGGCTGGGGCTGTACTTGGAGGAGATGGCATTCCGTATTGGAATACAGAATGACTTTTTCTATAGGAATCAGATTTTAAGGCTGCTTGAGTTCTGTAGTGTTAAGGTACTATAGTTAGTTACATTGTGAGTTAACATCTGCTCCTTTGGAATAGGCTGGAAGCTTCACTCTCCTATTCATAAGTTTCTCTGAAGCAAACATTTTAAGTTTCAATGAACATGGTTCAGGAACACAACCTGTCTGTCGGCTGTATGCCGTCCTGACTTGCACTTAACCTTTCAAGGTTGTGTCACCCACAGTCTCTGGTCCAGAGCCTGACATATAAGCATTCTCAATAAATGATCTCAAATGGCTGCTTTTTCTCTTAAATAACCATTTGCCTCCATTGCTAAATGCCTGTGTTCCTCCAGAGTCTTCACAGACTAAGCAGTGTGTCAGCCTCAGATGACAGATTGGGAGTAGAAGTAAAGGGACTAAGGCGGTATGGTGGATGACGTCCTATTGTTTTGATATTGACACCATGCCTTTCCCCAAATCGCCAGCCTGGCTCCACTGTGAGACACAACACTGGGCTGAGAGGGGTGTGGGAGATTCTTGGCTTATGTGGGGTGGCATTTCTTATCTAGTGCTAACTTCACCTACCATAGAACAAGGAGTAGGAACTGTGTGAGTCCTGAAACATCGGCATGTCCTGGGTTCAAGAAGGCTGCTCTTAGTTTCTGGAATATCTATAGAACTACTCCAAAAAACTTTTATAAACTCTGCTAGCCAATACAAGAAATTCATCAAGCATTTCTTTTGTTAACTCTATTTTTGCTTTCTAAGTGTACACAACATAATAGGAGGAACAGACATTTATAAATAACTCTGATACTAGGCAGACAGATAAGTGCTAGAATAGATACACGATATACAAACATAGTGGCTTGAGAGACTATTTCAAACTAGAGGATCTTAAAAGGGGTTTCTAAGGACATGAGATTAGAACTGGGCCTTAAGGAATAAAAGATCTTCAACAGAAGCCTCTGGGAGGAGGTAAGGGAGGCCCAGCGTGAGTCAGCTAGGGAGGTGGGGAGGTCTGGGGCCTGGGGAAGGGCTGAGCTGGAAAGGGAGGCTGTGGTGTATTTGTGAAGGACTTGGAAAGGCAGGCTTAGGAGTTTGGACTTCACTCCACTGATCCACTGAAGGAGCTGAAGGAGGGAGTGCCATAATAGACCAGGTTGTGTTTCAGGAAAATCACTACAGCATCAGTGTGGAGGATGGACTCATCTTGGGTAATGGAAGGTGCACACCAGGAAGAAGGCTGAGCAAAAGCCTAGGTGGAATGTTTGGGGCATCGAAACTTAGACAGGGCAGTGACAACACAAAGAAAGGGAGGAATTCAAGAGACACCGTGAGGTACTCTTTAAAGGTTTTTATATTCCAGACATGTGCCTCTGTAGAGCTGATTATATGTGAGCACAGACTTTATTCTTTGGAGGTCCTTTCAGGAGATATTCTCCTGCTCAGAGAGTTACAGAGGTTCCCTATTGCCCATTCGATTGAGTCCAGACCTCCCATACTGACCTTCAAGGATCCATTAGCTGGATCCTTCATGGCTTCCTATCTATTTAGTTTTGCTCTGGCCACACCAAACTGCTCATGGTCTCTGGCCCTACCTGGGTTCCTGGCCTTGAAGGCTTCTCTCCTCTCAGCTGAAGCCATCTGGCACCCCCACACACACCAAGACACACACTCACAGGCTTGAATGCTCAGGGTGGCCTGGCTCCCATTGTGCAATGCTACATGAGGTGGGAAGACCTGCCCATGTGCAGTTTATTATCAGGTCCTGGCTCTGTTCAGCATGTCCCATTCTGCTGGGGCTTTCTGAGCCTCACACTGCTCTGCTTGAGCTATGACAGAAGGAATTCTTATAGCTCATCCAGGCCCACAAAAGAGAGAGACAGAGATGGGACAGAGGGAGTGCGGCCCAGCCACACACCTCTCCCTGCTTCACAATTCAATCACAGCTGCTGAGTTTGGCCAGTTATATTCATGAACTTATAGGAGACTGTATTTGCAGAGTTTCACTATTATAAAAGGGCTTAAGTGTATTGACCTAGACCAACTTCTCTTTGATGCAAAAATGGAAATCAGGGTTGGAAAAACTTGTTCTTTCTATTTGCTTCCTGGTGAGGCTCCTATGGGGGCACAGGGGCAGGAGCTTAAGCATAAGGGAATAGGAACCTTGTCCCAGGCCCTTGGAATTTCCACTCAGTCTGTTTCTGAGTACAGCAGTTGTTCAGTGCAACTTATTTTGAGAAACTCTATAATCCTTGAGTCAGAAGGTGGTGGCTTTGTGAATCTATATTGGGCAGGAGGTGATGAAGCAAGCTGCTAAAGCCAGGATGGGGGTGTCAGGGTTGGGGGTGGGATTGAGGGCTTGTTCAGCCTCCCTTCTGGGGACCTGAGATAGGAAAGTAACCATCATGGCTGCCACCACGTGTCCAGCCTCCTTTTGCAAAGATCCTACGAGGTATTCTTTGTTTTCAGAAGTCAAACTCTACTTCCCTTAAACATCTGCTCCTGGCAAACAATGTCTGTTTCAGGATTTATTTTTAGCCAATTTTAGCTGCCACCTGACCCTGCTCCACCCTCGGCAAAGATCTAAAGAAGCTATGGATTAAAATGGGAACAGGCATTAGACCCCAGAGTTTACCTGATCAGAGATTCTCTTTCATATCTCTACAGGGATAATCTGCCTTTCCCTTGCCTAGCCAAAAGTAAGTGTGGCTAGTTATATAGAAGGGTAGTAGCTGCCTACAGTGTTCCCTCGCCCTACCAACTGCCAGTGGTGGAGCTGCCCCGATCTGATTGCACCTGATAGGCAAGCCCTACTTTATCTCATTTCCTCCCCATTGTGTGTCCTCTGTTCTTCCTAGTCCTAGACACACGCCATGTTCATTCATTCAGTGAGAGCTGGGCATGGGCCAACCAGGCAGTTTTCCAATGTGCCAACCTATAATGGTTGCTAAAACATTACTTGAATTACTGGACCCTAAAACATCATGAAGTGAATGAGAATATCTTTACCAGAACATCTGTCAAAGAGAGCACTAAATTTATTTCATTCATTCACTGAGTAAATGTCTATTTGTGCCTAGTTCATTCACTAATTCAATAGATGCTTATTTACCACCTTAAATATTATATACTAGGCACTGTTCTAGGAACTAGAATATAGTAATAAGCAAGACACACAAAGTCATTGCCATGGTGGAATTTATATCTTACTAGGGAGACAGGTAATATACAAGGATCTTGGGTCAAGTTCCTCAGAAGTAGACACTGAGATCATTTGGGTTTAATAGTCTGTTAATGAAATGAAAATTAAAGGTGATGGTGGCAATAAAGAAACATGGGACCTTGTGAAATTGGAAAAGTCAAATCTTCTGGGCTTCAAATAATGGGAGTTAAGATGGAAAATATATTTGTGCAATAAAGGTTCATTAAGATTTCACAGTTATGGCTGGGCGTGGTGGCTCACGCCTGTAATCCCAGCACTCTGGGAGGCCGAGGCGGGCGAATTGCTCGAGGTCAGGAGTTCGAGACCAGCCTGAGTAAGAGTGAGACCCCGTCTCTACTATAAATAGAAATTAATTGGCCAACTATTATATATAGAAAAAATTAGCCGGGCATGGTGGCACATGCCTATAGTCCCAGCTACTCGGGAGGCTGAGGCAGGAGGATCACTTGAGCCCAGGAGTCTGAGGTTGCTGTGAGCGAGGCTGACGCCATGGCACTCGCTCTAGCCTGGGCGACAAAGCGAGACTCTGTCTCAGAAAAAAAAAAGTGATTTCACAGTTATATAGGAGGACTCAGGCTATGAAAAAGATCAACTTCAAGTTGTTATATCCACACTGAAGCCTGTGGCTTCAGATAACCTCAGGTAGCCTCATGAGCTCAGAGAGGCATGAGGATAAGGAAGCAAAGAAATAATACAGTATTGAGACTATGTCTAGGAAAGACTTTTGGGCTATTGGCACAAGGAATTAACTGGAAGCAAATAGATTGGAAGCCTATTGTTTATGACAGAATTGTGTTGGCAGAGAAATCATGATTCTGGCCTAAAACAAACAAATAAACAAAAAACACTGTTATATAAAAAAGGTCTCAAGCCCCCAAATTTTCACTAGTTGGAAGCAGGCTATGAATACTATAGAGTTCCAAGGATGGCTCAACAATGCTCACTTCAGACAAGGCCATGGAGGGAAATGGGCATGGAAGCACCTTTCGAAAGTGGAGCAAGTTACCATGGAGAGCAATGGACAAGAACTTCTTCCAGAGATCAGAATTAAGGTCTAGTCAAGAAACTTCCCCTCACACTGCAGCAGGCAGTCTTCACTGTATCTATCCAGCAAGACTTCATCACTGCTATGGACAAGTTGCTCTGTAGCTCCCATCCTTTCCTTTCTGAAAAGGAATTTTATTGTAGCTGTCCTATTCCTATGTTCCTGCCTTCACATTGTATTTTGAGTGGTGATTGGTGGAGAGTAGATACTTGTCTTTGAGGTTTTAAGTCTCTGAACCACAAGGAGATACATCCAGACTTTCTGGAGAGAACTGCACATCTCCCAGAGAGCCTGGATGTTGAGCTGGATATGATGACTGGGTGAAATTTTTTATTATTTTGTGTTTGTTTATATTGTAATTGTGTAAGCATGGGCAGAAAAGTGTGCACTGACATTCGGTGACCAGTCTACCTGCCTGGCACACTGATAATGTTAGACCTAGATAGCTAGCTGTCCACCAAATATTCATCTATTATTGAATTGATGTTGGAATAGACTACATTTCCCAGCATCCCTTTCATCTATATAACTAGCTATCACTAATGGAATATGAATAGAAGTGATATGTGTGACTTCCAGGTGGGGACTTTGAAGAAGCTAGTGGGGATTATCCGCATTCTCTTCTCATGTCTGCTATCTGAATGTTGGGAACTCTGAGCTTCTAGAGGAAAATGAAGCCACAAGATGGCCCCTAAACACTACATGAATGAATGCTGCAAATCAGAAACATGTATATTGGACAATGACATGAACAAGAAATAGATTTCCACTTTGCTAAACCACTGCTTTTTTTTTTTTTTTTTTGGTTACAGCATTATAGTAATTATGCATTTGATTTTGAATTATGGTAATGCTAGAAACAATTACATGTAAGACTCCATGACAGTGAATCAGGCATTTGTTAAGCCCATAAGCGATGTTCCCAACAGAAGCATGGTGGCAGAGAAGGCAAATCCAATAAATATCTACTCCAATGAAAACCAAATTATTGTCCCCTCGATGATGAAGAATCTAATGTAATCAGCCTTCCAGGCAAGTGCTAGACTGGTGCCTCTAGGCACTATATTGAGGGTTTACTGCTGGTCTCTGCTTCTAAGAAATTGGATACTCAGCAGTGATGGGGCCAGATCAGCCTCAATAAAGGAAAGTGTACATTGTTGAGCCTGTCTATAATCTTAATCCTGCCACCGTAGTGACTGTTATAACCTCGCTGAGAAAATACTGGGGTGAGTAAGAAAGAGGCTGACTGACATTCATAGCTCAAGACATTAATATCTTTTACACTGTTTGAGAGCCTTCTGTACCATGGACATCTTTGAGAGAACATTCTCATGGAATAAATATATTTTTACATCCTGGACCCATTATGATTAGTCCATTAATACACCTTTTTCCCAAAACTCCTTGTCATAAATTCGACAATCTTATTCCTTCCAAATCCTTGACTGTTTGTCCAAACCACTAGCCATTGTCTATGAATTGGCTTAGATCCAGATCTCAGGTCATTTCTCCTTCTAGACAAAGTGCACCATGACAAGTACCACTCAAAACTCTGCACAATGGAAGGATTTCCCGTCTCTACAATCCTTCATGACCAGTCCTTAATAGCAGTCCACTTACTACTGTTGACAGCATGTTGCACAGATCCATCCAGGTTCTTTTAGGCAGGGACTGAGGTAGGAGATGCTGCAATTGAAATGAGCTCCCTAATTTAATAGGAGATGATTGGATCCTGGTGTGGAAGAGGCAACGGGGCAACACTTAGCCACCAGAGACAGGGTGGGCATGGCTACCACAGAGGGCATCAGGGACAAAGTGGTAATCAGTATGTCCAACCCACATGAATCACTGGAAGTATTAAGCTGATTGTGGGTCCTGAGAAGCCACAGAGAAGGGTAACTCAATAAATTCCTTCTTGACCTGGATAACCAAAGAAACTCTAGGTCTGGCAAATACAAGCCTGACTCAAATCACCACAGCAGAGTATCCAGACCAGAACCAATTCAATGACCCAGAGCACCTTGAGTGAAAGAAAGGCTGAAAACCCTGGAGAAACAATTCTGAGATATTGCCACAAGCACACATGATAAATCTTCTTCTATCCTTCTCTGTGGGGGCCTTCCTACAGCCATTTCCCAGCACTGGGGAGAGGAAATACACAGACAGTTTTCAGAGACTATTGAACACTGGCTCTGAGGACCTAAGGACCCCGAACACTACTCTAACACACTATTTAGGGTGGAGCTTTGGGGGAGCAGTGTCATGTCATAGAGACTTCCCCCCCCCCATCTCAGCTATATCAGAGTATGTGGCTTTTAGCTCAGGCTTCCAGCCTAACCAAGACAGTAAGGAGGAAATATATGGAATTTGGGGTTAAGTCCATATCACAGTAGTCTCAGTAGATTCACAAACACATCCTGTGGTTTTTTTCCCCCAAGTTCCTGAGTATACACCAGTAATAAAGATAACCCAAAGCTAACAGAATCTTCATGTTTCTCCTTGATCTATAGAGTGAGGGTGGCTATCATGATAGGAAGAAAATAAAATCCTTGGAGCTACCCTACTAAAATAGTGGACCAAACCAAAGCCCCATTCATGGTGGAATCACAGAGATTAGAACCATTAAAGCCTTGAATGAGACAAGGAAGGTGATCCCCACTATGTCCCCATTTACTTTATATAGAAGACAGACAGGTCTTAGAGCATGGTAGTAGATTAGATCATAAACCAAATTAGATGGAGGCTACATCTGAAACTTTCTAAACATGGTCTTTTTACAGAGTAAACCAATACATACATTGGCATATACTATACCACTGTTCATCTAGAAAATGATTTTATTCCTATGACAATTAGAAAAGAACACCATAATCAAGTACCTTCACCTAGAAAAAGCAGCTCTCTTCATCTTGTTGCAGTATTACAGCTCTCTAGAGTTATGCCATATTTTAGTCCAAAAGGCATGCATTTCTCAATATTCTCAAATAGAGAATCTTTGTCTTATAGGACAAAGTTAATGGTCAAATAAGTAGGGTTCCACATGATCAATACATTCCAACATTTCT